ATTTGTTTTCAGTCTTAACATTGCTGTTAAACTGCTCATCCGTGTAATACTTGCAGTTATTTTCAGAGTTCTTAAAAAAGTTTTTTTCAGGGTCAAAGTCATCGTCTGATTCATGATAATGTTGTTCAGTGTCTCCAATTGTGTTCAATTCCAGATCCAGTCCCTCAAAAACTATTAACCTCTGTAGCAAATCACTTGCCTCATTCCGTACGTGGGTCATACCTGTTTGTTGGTTCCTGCTAATTGTTGGTTCCAACACTCATCTGCCCTCGCAGATATCAATATACCTGCGTGTTTGCAGTCATGACAAAATAGGTCAGTAAGTGGGCACTTAGTTTTACTGACCTATTTCCTATGAAGTTTATTGTGCCCTTTACTAAAAGAGCTCAGCAGCAGACTGACTTGTAGAGGCTGTTTGTCAATAATGGTGTAGATTTCCACTAATGCAGTGCACCTTGTGCTTCAAAAATCTACAGAGATTAACTGAACACACAAAGCTGCAGTCTGTCCTCTTCACCTCTGCCCTGATGAAAGTCAGCTGCAACTAATTGTACACCAGGATGTGTGTCTGCATTGATTATCTGTTCACACGGTGTGGAGACCTTTGTGTTTGTTTGTTTCCTGACTGTATTTCACAAAATCCTGACAAGCTGAACACCTTAAGCTTAATTTGAGTATAGATTGCTTTTACTTGATGCTCATACTGAAGCATAGTGAGGCCTGTTGCTGTACTTACTGTGCCTGCTGATGTGGAAACATTGATAGATTTTGAAGTAGCCCACTGGCAGCTTTCCGCCCATGGCTTTGGAAAGATAGTTTAAGCTGGTAACGTATTGTGCACCAAACGTTTCTATAGTATAGCATGTCCCTTTCACATAAGGATTTGGATAGATTTAAGAGAGGCGGTGTGGTGTTTGTGAAGATGCAATAGAGGCTGTCTGCGGCAGTCACCATGAGGGGACTGAGGTTGGTGCTTTGCTTCATGTTGCTTGTTCTGCAAAGTGTGAGCTTTGAGCTACAGGATACAATTCATGCACTGATAGAAGAGAACATCCACCTCCATGACCAGCTGGAGAACCTCACTCAAGCCCTCAGGGATCTCGGACGGATTCTCTGGCATCACTCACAAGGTACTCCGCTATTTGTATTTATATAAAGTAAAAACACCATCCCAGCACCTGTTGGTTGCTACAGGTGAGTTTCATTACAAATTAAAGGAGCATCACAGACCAATACAACTATTTCTGATTAGTTTGAAAAGGTATCAATAATTCTGCCCAGTCCATTTTTGAAGTGTATCAGGTATTGCTTTTATTTCTCAGCTTCTTTGTATTGTTCCAATGCAAACAAAGACACAAACATGAGAACACCAAAGAATTTGTGACTGCAGCAATCTTCTGGGAGACGTGGTGTGTTATTTGACACAAATGCAGGGGTGCTGTTATTTTTGGCCACGACTTCTGAGGCATTTTCAGGAGCACTTTAATCCACATGGATTTTATATAACGTTGTTTTTAGCCATCTGCCCGTTCATTTTATTTTTATGATTTCCCTTACTTTCATCTCTTTTTGTCTGTTTTCTCAGTCTCTTCATTCACTCTAGTCCACTTCAGCTGTTTGACCTCAACCAGAGTACTGAGTTTTTCCATGCAAGATTTTTGTCATTTACTTTCTTACATTAGTTTTAAGTGTGCATATTGCAGTAAGCTTGCATACCTATGTACTGACATAGCTACTCTGTGTGTTTAATACAGCCCCGGATCATCATGAACACCACAAGCATCATGCTGAGGATGTTCAGCGTCTGTGGGAGGAGTGGTCAGAGCATGGTGAGTAGTATCACTGCCTTCAAACATTTCAGTGAATTCAGAAAGGTCTGATAGTTGTGAAAAGCTTCCAGCATATTCACTGCATTAAGTGGGCAAATCGTGGCAGAGGCCATACCATTAGCTGGGATTGACCCCATGGGCCTGTAGGCTGCAGTTAGGCTTAAGGATTAAAAAGACAGTGCATGAGATGATGTGGCAGTGTTTCTCCTTTCCTGGCAGGCATCAGTGCAGAAACCCATCTCCTGCTGGAACATGCCTTTTGTGGGCATGACCTGCATGGCTCAGCTGTACCGGTCCATGAAGAAACAATCTTCCTGCTGCTGACGTTAGTCTGTCTCACCCTGCTGCTGACGAGCTGTTTTTAGGCTACACTACACTGAGGAGCTACACAGAAGCTGTTTCCTTGGCTGCTCATATTTTCAGAAAAGTTGTCTCATGGTTAACAGGGAAAAATGCAAACTATACTGTGCAGTTTAATGTAATTGAATTGAGTTTTGAATTGTTACAAAGATCACTAGCCCTGTCTCTTCCTGCCCAGAGTGATTATTGAGTGACCAGGCTTGCACAAGTTGACCTATCTGTGTTAGATGGATTATCTCTGGGGAATGTACTGGACTGGAAAGGAGTCTGATGACGTTGGTATCATCACAGAGGAAGTTTAATTGTGGCAAGTTAAACCCAGTGTATATCCACTGTTATGTGGACAAATGACAGTTTTATATGTCAGTTATTTGTCTGGGTGTGGCAGTTATGATAGTGATGATTATGGAAATTACTTTGTCCAAAACTTCAAAAGTTCATGTCCAAGTCTTACACATTAGTTCAGGAATTTCCCAGAATGATCATAATCTCCAGGTTGTCCGCATTCATGTGAGCTTGCCTGACATCCACCGGTGCCATTGTAAAAGCAGAGAGAGGACATTTTACCTACGCAGTTTTGTGGATATATTTTACCTCCTGCTGCTGCACTGTGACCAGCGAAAGTGGAGGTAAATACAGGGTCTGCGGTTACTACCTATCCAGGAATGTTCCTGTACAGGGACATTTACATTATTAAATCAGCTCGTGGTATAAAAAAACTGAGTAGTGTAGTTTTTACTTTGACCTCCTTTTTGTTCCATTGCCATCATCCCTACCTTGGACAAATTTGCTAAAAATAAAGACACCAGGCAGAGAGCCAAACACTTTAGTTACATGTTTCCACATATACAGCACATAGAAAAGTTATAAAATGAACTAAAAGTCAGTTTGGGCTGAAAGTTTTGTATTCTAAACAGTGACACAATTAAACAGAATGAAACAAAACAGGCAAATTGGTTTTAACACAATAAATAGTTGACAGTCACAGCACAAAGAAAACATTTAACCTAACACCTACACATTCTCATGGTGCAATGCAGCAGGTCCTCGATAATGATAATGGCTGGTCTCTCTCTCTCACTAAGTATAACTCACCACGGAATGATGAATGGCCACTGCACCACAATGCCTGTGTATTTTTATGCATTTACTTTTGGTTTTGCTTCAGTGCTGGTTTGTGTGTTGCTGTGTAAAATTGCAATACAGGGGTCTACATACATATAAATGATCTATAGTCCATGCATGCTGTGTATGCATATTTTCCAAGCACATAATCTGTAACATATAATGGCTCTAGTCTATGTCAAGGTCAGAATCCTCATCACTCACAGCGTTCTGTATGATGGCTCCATTGCGAGCTGTCTTCGGGATGATGGGGGGCTTGTCAGGCAGCAATCCATACTCCTGCAGCAGAGCCTCCAGGTCTACAGCAAAGAAGTCTTCCCCAAGCTGGTCTGTGAGCCGCACAAAGTTGCCGATCAGGTCTCCACCTTTGTAAACGAGCAGAGCAGGCAGAGCGCTCTCCCTGAACAGTGCGCTGGTGCTGATGGCCGAGCTGCGTACACTACAGAACTTGACCAGCGGGTATTCCTGAGCCAGACACAGCAGGCTGCCACTCATGGCTTCACAGCCCGGGACATCCGGCTCGTAGATGTGGATCATGACCAGCGTGCTTTTGTCTGCCTTGTCCAAAGCCTCCAGGAAGTCCTCTCCACTGTTAAGCTCGTAGACCTGCTCAAAGCGTTTACCACGGCAGAGCTGGCGCTGCATCTCTTCAATGCGCTGCATGCGGTAATGCTGGAGGAAGTCTTCATCATCCTCCTCTTCCTGGAGCATGTTGTACTCCTGCATGGTCATCTGTGGAGCAGACAAAGAGGAAAAACACATTCAGTTAAAGCAACAGTTTGACTTTTTGTGAAATATTCTTATTGATACCAGTCTGTCTGTACAGTAAATATGAATCCACAACCAGAAGCTGAGCAGCTCAGCTTGGTACAGACAGGTAAAGCTCGGTAATTAACATGCAGTATCCAGGTTGTTTTTTTTTAAGCCCGTTTAAAAACCAAGATATAAAAACAAAATTCACTATTTTCTGGGGGTTATGTGCCAAACTGCAGGTAATCAGCAGAGTCTCCACAAAGTTACCAGTCCCAGCCAAGAAATGATCTAATATAATCCCCCATGTCATTTCATAAAAAGGTCTTCCTACAGCATCCAACTTTTTATTTAAAAAGAGAAATCCCATGTGCTGCATCTGTCATAAAAGCACCAATCTATCCCATTTTTTACTCTGGGCTGTCAGATTACTGGTCTCCACTGTGTCTAATTATAACTCTAACAATAATCTTAGATTCAATTTCTCAGGACAAACAAAGTTTCAGATAGCTGACTGGTGCATTAATGCAAAGAAGTCAAATGTGCTACTAACTTTACTAATCTATAATTTAACAATTCCATTTAATGGAGGGTGAAGGTGCAGGGATTCCATCAAGTTAATCAGGCCTTCTCTAAATAACATCTAAGCCTTTTCCCACAGCAAGTGTTCCACATTAGCAGGTGTGGCACAGTTTCAAGATAGAGTCGCCCTGTGTCGTCACGATACCATGAGGAACAAGATGTTTTAAGCTTAGGGAGCTTCCAACTGTATGCGTTTCATCCCCATGCTACTTACTTTGCCTTTGATTTTGTCCTTCAGCTCCTTCTGTTTCTCTTTGTCTTTTTCCAGGTCAAGGTCAGAGCGGCAGGTCATTGACAGCTTCTTGATCAGTCTTTCCATCTCTTTCTTCTGCTCTTGTTTCTGCTCCACCTCCAGCTGCTTGTATTTCCTCCAGTCATTGATCACACCCTTTGGTCCTGAGATGGAAAAGCCATCCTAGTAACTACTCTAAATATGTAGCATGCTCTGAATAAATACTACGTTCATATGAAGGATAAATTAATGATTAAACTGAGAAACAGCAATGGCTCAGTGCTGGGCAAAGTAATATCTGACCAATAAATGAAAAGGAAAAAAGTTTGTTCAGACAAACTTATAATAAAAGTAAGCAGTTTGATTCTTTAAGTAGGGCAGACATTTTCTCACCCTACTGTAAAACATTTTAATACATCTTTTTTTTTTTTTTTACTTACAAGGATTTAATAAATGTTCAACAACTCGATTACTTGACAAATAAAGATCACTGTTGTTGATAGTGTTAATATCTTGATACGTTTTACTACAAACTCTTACAAGTCACCGAACACTGGTTTACTGTAACTGGAGTCAATTAATCAAGTAAAACAAAATTAACTGGAAACTATTTTGATGATAAATGCATCAGTTCAGGTCATTTATCAAAGTAATATTCCAAACATTTGCTGGTTCCAGGTTCTCAAATGTGGGACTTTGCAGCTTTGTCTTGTTTAAATTTCATTTACTATAATATATGGTTAAATATTTGGGTTTTTGACTGTTGTTTTTGACAAACCAAGACATTTTAAGATGTCAATTTAGAAATGGTTTAATAATTGATTAATTGTTTATATCATTTTTAAGCAAATCTCCACACATTCTCTGGTTTCATCTTTTCCATTGTGAGCATTTTCTTCTTCTCTCTATCTCATATCACTGTAAACTGAATATATCAGGCTTTTCAAATATTGGTCAGATGTTTGAAGGCATCTTGTTGAGCTTGGAAATTTTACCCTATACTCTAAATGCTTAATTGATATATTCAGAAAATAACAGACCAATAAAATGAAAGTACTAAATTACAGCGCTAGGGTCAATGTTTGGCCGCATCGGCAATGGAGGTGGAGAATATGGTCCACTTGGACTCAATATCTCCAGCCTCCCCCGGGATCTGGTCAAAGCTCTGGCGGAGGCGGGAGTTGAATATCTCTCTGACGGGGGATTCTGATAAACTTTCCCAACAGACCCTCACAATACGTTTGGGTCTGCCGAGTCTGTCCAGCTTCCTCCCCCGCCATCGGATCCAGCTCAC